CGAGCATCTGTAGCCTCCAAAGAAGTGTTTATATGTATACAGAGCACATACATCAGACAAATACATCAGAGGGAGCAGAGAGAGACTAACAGTGGTGGTGTGCTCCCATCGGTACAGCAGCGGCGGTGAGGAAAGGAGGGCTGTCGGAAATGGTAGCAGCGGCGGTGAGGGCCTTGTGTGTGAAAGTATAACGTGTGTGTGTGTGAAATAGGTTTGAACCGAGAAATTATTGTGTGTGTTTGAGAAGAAGAACCGATTGTGCCAAAACATTTTTATTTCCCCCCTAAAATATTTAGTGATTAAATTATATTTTGGTGACAAAATTATTTCTTCACCAAAGATAAAAATATTGGCCACAAAAATAGTTTTGTCACTAAATAATATTAAAATATTAAAAATTATTGGTGACAAAAATATATTCGTCATTAATAATTTTATAATTGGTGACCAATTTTTTCGTCACCAAAAGTTTATTAATTTTGGCGCCCTCCGAAAATATTAGCGGGAAAATATTTGGTGACAAAAAAAATATAAATAATGACGAAATATAATTTCGTCACCTATTTTTTTTTATTATGATTTAGATTGGTGACGAAATTTTATTTTTGTCTCCAAAAATGGTACATTTGGAGACAAAATATGATTTTCGTCATTAAAATATACGTATTTCGTGACAAAAAAAATTTTCGTCATTAGTTTTCGTCTCTAAAGACTATTTTTGTTGTAGTGAATCATGGGGTGGTAAATACGCTATGACGTCCCGAGCAAGAGCCGCCAAACCATACATACATATATCGATTTATATGCAAAAAATATTCTCACATTTGCCGACTCTAATAACGGCTGGGTGATAGACACCCAGAATCTTTCTCTCTCCACTTTTGTCGACTCCTGAAATGGCGTGCTTGTGGACACCCAAAATCAAGTTTCTCTATAAACAGTAGGCTCGTGGACACCCAAAAGCCTTTCCCACGTTCGTCCAGCAATATGCGCAGACAGGGCAATTGGGCACCTTGACTCCCTGCGCGGGTACCACATGCAACACACAACTCAATTCTCGAAACGCAACTCAATTACCCAGACTCATACGCTATTTACCCTCTTTGACATTTTCCAAACATCCACAAGATAGTTAAATCACATGAGAAATTTTGAAGCACATGATGCATGAGTTTTCAAATAAATTTTCCCTAAAGTTTGTTCAATCCACAACAACATTAATAATAGTATTATTTATCACATAATAAATTCTTCAATTGCATAATGTCATCATCTCCCAATCTCAAGAATTTATTTCCACAAGTTATAAAAGAAGTCCATATCTCAATGCAAAGGTAAGCTCAATACCTTCAATTTCACCATTCAAGAGTCAATTGAACAAAATCCCCTTCATCAATTCAATTTGAAAACTAGGGTTTCATAAAATTTGGGGCTTTCTCCTCATTTGTGTATAGAAGGTCAATAGTCACAATTTCTAACAATAATCAAGAAGGGCATGTATAAATTATTCCAAAACATGGGAAAAATCCCCTTTAATTTCTCAAAACTCCTCTCATTTAACAAATTATCCCATACATTGTTATAACTAAGAAATTATCACATATAAATCTCAAAGCAAGAATATAACAAGTTAAAAATGCTCCCTACCTCGTAATGGTAGCTAAGAGATGAAGACCTAACAAGAAAGTTGATCAAAAACACTATACAATCAGTGAGAATCTCGAATTAAGCTTGCTCTTCACTTTTCTTGAAGGATTTAAGGTGAATCTAAAGTAAAACTTGAGGAAATCAAGGGTTTTTAGGGTTAGAGTTCAAAAATGGGTGTTAGAGAGAGAGAGAGAAAAGTTGGAAAAAGTGAGGAGGAAGAGTGTTTGGTTGACTTTTAAAGAAGTTGCCCCAACCAGACCTCTTGAGCAAGCTTTTCACCGCTCGAGTGGTAAACGCAAGGTTCCAAAAGTTTTGTAGAGCTACAGTGGAAATACTAGGAGCTTGAATTTTGCGCTCGAACGACCACTCCATCGCTCGAGCAGTTTTGCCTACAAACATGCAAGGCACAGGGAGCTACACATCTATGCTCGAGCAACTAGATGACCGCTTGAGCGGTCACCCGAACAAACTGCTACATGTTCATTGCCGTGTTGGTGTCCAACACATGTCAGACATGGATACAACCCCCATTTTGGAGTATCTATGCTTCCTAGTCTTCATTTTTTGTTCCATTATCACCTCCCTCTCTTCTATAGTGGTAGTTATCTTTTTCTTTTCTTTCCTTCCTAAGTTTTCCAGTTGACGAGGAGAAGAACATGAAATCGGTTGTTGAATACTTTCAAGAGGTGTATGGGTTTACCATTCAACATCCCCATCTACCTTGCCTCCAAGTGGGAAATCCAAGGAAAGTGAACTATTTGCCAATGGAGGTAGGCTCTAGTTAATTTCTCATTTTAGTGATGCAAAATTATGTTTTCCGTACTTAACTATCAGTATCTTGCCATATTTTTTCAGGCTTGCAAGATAGTTGACGGGCAGAGATACACAAAAAGGCTGAATGATAAGCAAATAACTTCTTTGTTAAAATTTTCATGCCAAAGACCTCAAGAACAAGAAATGGACACTTTGAAGGCTTGCATCTTCAATTATTGGATTCGTTTCTGCTTCTTTAATGAAAACAAGGATTTGAAGGCTGAAATTTGAATCTATATAATTAATATGGATCACTTTTAGTTGCTTGCTCCTTAATTTTTTGTGGAAACCTTGAGATTCTGTCACATGAACTCTGTTTGGTTGTTTTCAAAATCTTTTTTTCCCCCTTCCAAATAATAGAAGCTAGTTTGATTAAAATAAACACAATATATTTTTAAAATTAAAAAAATTATTTTTGCCTAAAAAAGGTAAAATCATATGATAATGATTAGTGTTTTTTATTTTTTCATTTTATTCACCAAACTAGTATTTAGTTTTCTGAAAAAAAAGAAAAAAAAGAAAGGAAGAAAACATATTTTGAAAACATTATCCTTCATGGACTCTCGCTTCATTCAAGTCTAATTACTTGCCGCACGATATAGGGAATGGTTATTTTCATAACCCCAAAGAAACATGTGTTTGATATTTAGATAGAGAGCAGTGATGGACAAAAAGCTGAAGTATTCTGGTATTTTTTCAGACAATGCACCAAAATGGATATAACCAAGATCCTTATGCAAAAGAGTTTGGCATCAGTATTGATGACAAACTTACATCGGTTGAGGCTCGTGTTCTTCCAGCCCCATGGGTATTTCCTCCACAGCATCCGATTCCATGACATATGTTTTCAATACTAACTATCATTTGTTCATTGTTTTGGTTTTAATAGCTGAAATACAATGATAACGGGAAAGAGAAAGAGTTCTTACCTAAAGTTGGTCAGTGGAACATGATGAATAAGGTAACACGACATTTGTACAAGGAAGCTATTAGAATTTCACTATGCATTGGGTATCTAAGAAAATTTAATCTTGTTGTAATAATGCAGAAAGTGACCAATGGAGGTGTTAGAGAAATGGTTTTCACCATTAATTTCCGGTAAATTTGAGCTTTTATTAATGTAGGTCCCACACCTCGTTTTGGGTGGGTCTGAGTGGCAACACGTTCCTTGCCATGTGGTGAACAAGAATATATACTCGGGTGGTCGAAACCATTTACGAGTGAATGAGAAATTAATACCGAAATGAGCCTCATAAACATGAAAATGTTTTGTGTGGTTCCCATAAGTTGGTATCTAAAAACCTTGTCCCACATAGGAAACTTAGAAGAGTTTCAAAGTATTTATAAGCTCTAAGTTGGAGACCTTGGGTTGGGCCCCAAGGGATACCCAAGTTTTGTAGGAGAAGGAGTTATGGACAAACCCAAAACCATCACCACACGCGCGCGCCGCCGCCGCCGTCCGTCCGGCCGGGTCGGTGTGGGTTTGGGTCTTACCAGTCCTTTATTTTTTGCACCAAAAATTATTTGAATTTTTTCGAATAATTCCAGCGGGAAAGAATTCAAAAAATCTGATATGTTTCGGTTGCAATGTTGCACCTTCTCCAACAATCGCGTCTCCGACTTGGCAACTGTTTGATAACAGTTTTCTATTTCAGAATAGGCACCTCTCAGCCTATATATATCAACCCTCCATTCCTAGTCAGAAAATAACTCTAACCCGTAACTATATTTTCCATTCTCTGCTTTTGTTCATCTTCATTTTTCTGCATCTTGTGAGTTTATAAAAGAATACATTCTGGTTCGCTGTACAAACGAGTTTGTAGTGCTACATCTGTTTGGGGTGATTGTTGAATCCTGGAGGCAGGACGTCCATTATTCTCGAGCACCTTGGAGAGGGCGAATTTCTGTCTTAAAGACACAGTGTCCATACACTGGCCTCAATCACAAATTTGTTCTTAATTTGAGTATTCAGACACTTGTAAGTTCTGTCATTGATTTTTATCTGTTATAATAAAATTCTGCAGATTCTGTTCATATTATATAATCTGTTCTGTTTAAATTATTCAGTTGAATCGAAGTATTATTTTTTACAACAAGTTTAAGACAGAAAATTATTCTCTTCTTTGGTCACTGTTTTACCTTTGTAATCCAGTATTGTTATTCTTCGATTAAAAACAAAACTAATTTACAGAATATGTCAATGCTCTGTGCGTGCATGATAATATATTGATAAGTTGGTGTTTTCCTTTATTTTATAAATGCATGAACTTCCATTTTATCACTTGCACTGCCTGTTGTATAAATTGTTCATTCTTTATTTTATTAGAGCACTAGTAGTTTAATCTCAGGCCATGTATGTTGAATAAATTTATTTGGATACAAGAGTATTTATTTATTCTTTTCCAAAACTTAGTGTATTTTTGTTCACTGGTTTGATGTTTATTATGTATTTGAGAAGTCTAGTTTTTAATACACTGGTAGTATTCTTACACCAGGATGTTTTAGTAAGTGATTTCTTTATTATGGTCTTGTTTTGTTAACAAAAGAAACATTGTAGAGTATTTAGGTTTTAAAAAAAAAAAACTGTATTCTTCTGAATTTTAATACTCAGTAAGTACTTCTGTTTTTGTTTAATACACAGTGTATACATCTGTTTGTTGATTTTCTGGTTTATCTTACTGTAGACGCGCCCGTGGGCCTCGTGCTACTACAGTTCGGACTCGATTTGTGTCACGGTTCTTAATCTGAACCAAAGAGTCCAAATCTGGCAAATCGTTTTGAGAAAAAAACAGATTTTTGTGAAAGTAGTGCCAAACATGGACTGCTTTGCCAGATACAGAGTCGCCACCTAACTTACCTTCAATGACATGACCACTCATGGCATGATCAAGACAAGTAAAAACAGAATCTATGCATGCAAAATAGGACCCCAAAAGCTCCTAATATGGCAACTAAGATATCCCCCATGAAGCAAATATACTAAGGCTCATTCTTAGGCATAAGAGGACACACCCTCAAGACATGAAAAAGACCATGCATGCACACATGTAAGCATGATTCTTGGACTAAAATATGACCCTAGATGATGCCAAATCAAAAGGGTAAACACAACCATGCATGCTAGAGGTCAAAATGCTCAAGGCTTCCAAGCCAAAATACAAAGCAACTCTAACAAACATGCTAAACATGACCAAGTTGATAACCAACAGATTTTAAGCATGGAAAAACAATGCTAAATGCTCCATGGAACCAAGCCAACACACACAAAAATCATGGCCTAATCATGGGATGTATTTCTAAGCAAGATGGAGCAATACAAAGCAAGTATTACAAGCATACAAGAGGGCCCAAATCCGACCAAAAACAGAGATTATGTAAGACCTAAGATGCCTAAAAAAAGTGCTGAAATGAAGCCAAGAAACAACAAGCACACATGCTATCCTTTTGAGCTCAAAAAGCAAGGAAACAAAACCATAAAGGGAGAGGGGTGTCCCTCCCCTATGCAAGACTTCAAACCAACTTTTTTGACACTAAAATACACTGATTCAATAAACTAGTTAGCAAATGTGCGTGTCCTAGTTCATGTTATTTTGCCTAATGCAACACATACAAGGTGCAATTTTAGTTAGGCTCGGTTAACCTAGATATGGCATACGATATGCAACCAACTAATTCATGTATTCAATTTTGGAATTTTGAAAATACGAATGCGGTTAGCATGATGTACCGAGCCCGGTGCATTTTAACAGATGCATGAATGCACGCATGCATATCATAAGGTATGTTAATTTCAAAAATGCCCTAATTCTACCATCATAAGCTGGTAAATAAAAGGGAAGAAAGAAATGGGGATTGGAAGACATACACACACTCACCCACACTTATTACATGTCTCCCTCACTCAGAGGGTTCGAATTAATATTACAGTCCCAAAACAATAAATAAATAAAATTATTACAAAATTTCCTAAATAATTAAAAAAAGGAAGTAAAAGAATGAAGAGGGTGGCCACAGCCTCTGCCTCGGGGCGCGCAGATGATGTATGCTCGAATCCGTCCTGCCCGAAAAACCCGTACTATACTCTAGTCGCCTCTGTTTGTACTGCCTTGTCTTTCTAAAAATTTCCAAAGTGTTGGAACAAGCTCTCTGCATCCTGCAGAGCACCACCGGCCAGACAGAATTGCCACCGGCACTCAAAAAAATCCCGTCGGCACTTTATCAGGTTCATCGGCACTCCAGATAGTGCCGGTCGGCACTAAATTCTGCCGGTCGGCATAAACTTCTTGCAACAGACAATCTGACAGCAAACAGAGGACAGGCAGTGCATAGCATGGGGTTTTTGGACACATGTAAGCATGGTCCTACTTCTTATCATATTTCGAACTCAAAGAAGCATGACTTTCGATCCTTGAATCATCAATGGTACGCGATGAGTCAAAGGGTCGAATTTGCCATTTGATATGAAAATGCATGCAACAAACAACATGAAAAACCGAGGCCTTATCAAGTTAGAGTCAAAGGTCCCGATGACCGAGAATCAAGGCGCATTGTATCACTTGAAGTATGAATGGTCCTTGATTCCCTAACTTAGCTTGACACCCCAAGCCAAGTAAATGCAATGCATGTAATGCTCAACAAGGCTCAAATACATCATGCCACCAAGATATAAAGCACAACAAACATTATGCAACCAACATGACAAATATACAATGCTAAGCATACAAGGTACAAAAATGGTGCAAACATGGACCAAATTGACTATGGGATCGATGTGCTACACAAAGCTTAATGGAACAACTATCCAACAAACATGGAGCAAGCATGCAAGAGGGCTTAAAAAAAGCAAAGAAAACACCTTGTTTAGGGGTTTGGAGTTGAAGAAAAGAGGAGAGGGGAGAAGGAAACAAGTTTGGGGAAAGTTCGGCATGAATTCGGGTAGGATCGAAACTGAGTGGCTTCACCAAAATAGGCATAACTTCTTTCACAGTTGGACGTTTGATGCAAGGATTCCACCATTGGAAAGCTTACTTCTGGGGCTTCAATTTGGACACAAGAATGACCTAAAAAGGAGTC